TTAGAGTACCAAGGAAGAGAAGTTTTTTTATTACCCAATCACAGTTTGACACGTCATCATTTTGCTCTTCCGCAGACGGACCCGACCCGAGAAAGCGGGTCAAGTTCAGATACAAATAAATGGGTCTTAACCCGAAAAAGCCCAAAAACAGATTTGAGATCTACACAAACTTAAAAAAATAGTTTATTGCTTAATGATTAGTAGTGTAGATTAGGAATGTTTTGTCTTTGTATTAATATATCCCAAGACAAAATGTTTTTAATTAGTCCAGACACAAATTGCTTTTTAGTATAAGGTCGAAAAATAGACACAAAAGGGACCCCACCTACCCTCTAAATTTCTTTAATTTATTGTTTTTTAAATCGAACTTTTGTGCTCATGCATAAAGAAATTTCAAGTTTTTTTTTTTAATCAACGAATTATCTTTCGTAGCCCCCATATAATTGTAACGCTCGTAAACCAAAAATTGAAAATTTTGGAAGATCGTATTGAACCGGTTGGTTCAATTTTAATCGTCGGTTTGACGTTTTGGTTAACGGAGACCTAGGGTTTCTGTATAAAAGCCGAGCAGCATAGAGAGGCTGAGTTTTTCAGAGAGAAAATGAGAGAAAACAGTTTTGAGGAAGAGATCCTTGTGTGTTCTTGTTGCTAAGTTTTGGAAGCAGTTTTGTCCGGTTTTATAAGATGAGAGTAATGGCCAGTAAAAACAGATCGGATATGAGCAAAACTTTCACGTTAAGTTCTCCACTCTCTGATCTTGATATAGGAGAAAACGGTTTGTCAATCGGATGTTTATTCTCGGAGTTATGATTGTTTTACTGAGAGAGGTTTCTGCAGTTTCGGATCTGCGATCAGTCTATTTCGAGGGAAGATTTCCATCGAACCAGAAGGATTCAGAAGACGATCCGCATACCGTTAGTTAGATCTCTCTGTCTAATTTTCAGATCAGGTTTCCGATTCTGATTCTTAGGTAATCTCCGTTCTCTGTGTGTTTTCGAAGTCAGCGTGTCAATCCTGTTTCTGAAACCCTAATTCGGTTTAGTTGGTTTTTGGAGAAAGGATCGAGGTTTTGTTGGTTCGTGAGGAAGGGAAGGTAGAGCAGAGGCTGTAGGTGAGA